TGCCTGTAATGCTTAGAAGGCAGCCAATAGCTGTTTTTCAATCATAGTATACCTCTTTTTTGCTCCATGCCAGACCTGAGACCAAAACGTAACTGGGGTTCAAACGGAATTTTGGCACTGTGATAGGTCCCAACCAAACTCATCCTGAGCTACATATATATCAAGTCTGGCTGGTAGGGTAGGATTGAATATACCCAGCACATGAGCTGGTTTAACAGCTAGTTTTGCTTGCTGGAAGGCCTCTTACTCCACTTTCCCTCAGTCCCATTTTTGGCCTTTCTTTGTGAGCTGGTATAAATGCCTCAGCAGCTGCACTGTGGTGTATAAAGGAACGCCAGTATCCCAATATACCTCAAATTTCTTATAGCTGCCTTGGTGCTGTAGAGACTTGGAACACCTGAACCTTATCTATTACTGCACTGGATAGTACTTTGGTCTTTCCTGTCCAATCTACATCCAGGAATTTCACCAGCGGGCTTGGTCCTTGTACCTTCTGTGGATTTATAGCCCACTCATTCTCTTGTAAACAGGTAATCAATGCCTCCAGTGAGTCAGACATCAACATGATATCATCAGTATAGTGATACTGTTTGAGGTTGTGGAGTTTATTACAATCTGCTAGTTCACACACCACTAATTTATGACAATATGTAGCTGAATGTACTTGCAGCATGACCTGAAAGCTCCACTGCCTGCCTCCCCACATAAATGCAAACTCATCTTGCGATTCTTCATGAGTGGAAATACTGAAGAACATATTTGCCAAGCCTAGGGCACAATGGTAGTTTTCTATCTCCCTACTCAATGTGCCCATCAGGGGGGCAATATTGGGTATGGCTATATGAATGGGCAATGTGACCTTATTAAATATTCTGTAATCCACTGTCATTCTCTATGTGCTGTCTGACTTTTGTGCAGGCAATGTGGAGATATTATGTGGGCTATGTGAAGGTCTTATGATTCCTACATTTTCTAGTTCCTGCACCACTCTGGAGATTTCCTCTTGCCCTCCCAGGAGTCTATACTGTTTAGTGTTAGTATTCCAGCACAGATTTGGTAGATGAATAGGCTCATGTTTCACATGGCCTCTTAATATTGTCTGCACTACCTGGATACATCTCTCTCTTAATCCAAACTCTCTCATGGTTGTCTGGAGAGTCAGACCCCATAGTATATCTGTGCCCAGTATATACTACAGAACTGGGACTACAGACATCTTATACTGGTGGATGGGAGAAGCTCAACCCCCAACTTCAACCATGCGTGTGTAACAGGGATGGTCTGTTCCCCAAGCCCATTAATCATCACCCTATCTCTATGGAATTTTATTGAATCACCATTAAAAAATTGACATTTCTGTGCCCATGTCTACTAATGCCATAACTCACTTTATGTTCTTTTGGGATCAAAAAATCTTCAATTCAACATAGGACATCCAGTCCTGTCTGGAGGCCCTACATGCAGGAGGGCTGGCAATCCCATCACACAATTAATTGTGCAACCACCAACTCTTTTTCCTCAGGTGACTCAGGCAGCATGGTCTGGGTCACTTGAAGAGGCTTTTTCCTTTTCCTGGAAACTAGGAAATCTTCCACGTTCCATGTTCTCATTGGTACTTTTTTCAATAATTCTCACCCCTTCCTTTTGGGGGATATTTTTAAACTTTTGATTTTTCTCCAACTGCCTCCAGAGCTGAAGGAGGACATGGCTATCAATTTTTGAAAGTTGAACCAGTCCAGTTAAACCATTAAACGTCTGTTTTAGGGATACACATATGGATGCTGATAGAGAAGTCTGTTGGGTGGGTCTCCTGGTTTTAGTTAGGGAGGGACCTGTGCCCCTTCCAGTTTATAGATATTGTGCCTGGTCCGAAGGCACTCAATCTCCCCTAGATCAGTCACCAACTGTGTGACCTGCGGGATAATGGCCTCGAAGGCTACTAAAGTGTATACTATGGGCACTGATGTGCCAAACTGGTGGAGAGGAGCTTGTAATATGAGGTTCCTCGTCCCTGCAGAAAACTTAACCAGGTCTGGACTCTCAGAAATATCATCCTAACTGGCCTCCTTTATTCCCAATTCCACACATCACTTTTGTTTTACTACATAATTCTACACGCTACCATTATCCAATGAATTAGCAAATGGATTTCCTCATTATTTATCGCAGTTGCATACAGCCTTTGCCTGATGGCCAGATGTGCAGTAATGAATGCAGGTTTAGAAATCTTGGATCAATTAATAACCACATTTTCAGCCCCCATGTTCATAATCTCAAAAGCCAAGCTGGTATTCTCACCAATGGTTTTTGCCTAAATCGTTGTAACAGATCCACACATTCAGCAGCTGTATACAGGCACGCTGTTATATGTAATGTGGTGTGGACAGAGGGCCACTCCTAGAGTGAATGGTCTATCCTGGACTTCCTTCATTTTTTGAGTTATTACTGATCTTATTTCTAAAGGATCTGAAGTTCCTAGGTCCTCCAGTTGGATTTTAGTCTGCTTAGTTTCGTCTTATTCTTAGATTCAACTGGGATCCAAGGATCCTGCTGATCTAAGTCCTTTTCCCCTTCTAAAGATATGGTTCTTAATTATAATGCAGAAGCACTCCTTCCACCCTGCCAGTCATTCAGGTGCATTGCATGAACCTGAACTCCCCTGTGGGCTGGCTGTGCCTTCCCATCAGGTGCTCAATCACTCTTTCAAGCAATGACTTAGCATTTCTGCTACATCATGCAAAGACTTTTTGACCCAAATATTGCTGTGGAATGCAAGGACAGATGGAGAAGTCTCTACACATGAAGATAATGAAAACAAAAAGGAATGTCTTGATGTTGTCTGTCATATTTTAGGCCAATTCTACCTAGTGTGTGGATCCTAGCTTCCTATGATGTTGATAAGTGATAAGGACTCCACAGTTTTTCTTTGTATGTTTCTTCTGCTTTAACACAAGAACAGTCCTATAACATGCATCCCCATCCACAGCACCTAAAGACTATTACACTGTTGAGTCTATGGCTCACTTTGTTCTACAAGAACCAACCAACCTTGAGCTCAGGAAAACTAACTGGTACATAGGTGGGCCTGTGTGAACCTAATTAGGTTCAACACAGCAAAGTGCAAGGTTTTGCACTTGGGTAGAAGTAATCCCAGATCTGTATACAGACTGGGAGAAAAACTTGACAGTAGCCTGGTGAAGAAGAACCTGGGCATCCTGGTGGATAACAAGCTGAACATGTGCCAGCAATGTGCTCTTGCAGCTTGGAATGCAATAGTATCCTGGACTCCATCAGAAGAGGGGTGGCCAACAGGGACAGGGAGGTGATTGTCCCCCTCTGCTTTGCCCTCACGAGGCTCCATCTGGAGTACTGTGTCCAGCTCTGGAACCCCCAGTATGCGAAAGATGTGGAGCTATTGAAGAGGGTCCAGAGGAGGACTATGAAGATGATCAGAGGGCTGGAGCACCTCCCTACAAAGACATGCTGAGGGATCTGGGCTTGTTCAGCCTGGAGAAGAGAACACTGAGGAGACCTCATTGCAGCCTTTAAAAGGGGATTATAAAGAGGAAAGGCATCAACTTTTTGTAAGAGTGGAAAGGGATAGGATAGGGAATAGTTTTAAGCTCAGAAAGGGAAGTTTTAGATTGGATGTCAGGGGGAAGTTTTTTACAGGGAGAGTGATGAGGTGCTGGAACAGGTTGCCCAGAGAGTCTGCAGATGCTCCATCCCTGGAGGTTTTCAAGACCAGGTTGGATGGGACCCTGGGCAACCTGATCTAGCACCAGATCTGGAGGCCGGTTGCCTTGCCTGTGTTAGGGAGCTTGAAACTTGATGATTCCTGGGGTCCCTTCCAACCCAAGCCATTCTATGATTCTATGATTCTTATGTCATTAAGCTCATAACAATTTATCTGAAATTTGCTTGAAAGATTTTGGTTCTTTTTCAGACTTGAAAGACTGGCTACTTCTTTCAACAAGGCTAGCTGATCTGATAAGAGATCTCTCTTTTATTTGAACATGTTCTGTCTATATCTTTTGATCACAACAGTTGTGGCGTCTGTATCACCACAATTTAACCACTGCTTCAAATGCTGCATGTTCAAAACCAAGTCCTGGTGCTAACCATGTAAAGGTATTTCCTCAAACAACAACACTCCTTCCAAAGAGAGTTCACAAAATGTCTGAGGACACTGCACACCTGACAAGATCAAAGAGATTTTAAATAGTTAACATCTTCCATAATCAGATCCTATCCTAAGCCAGAACAAAATCCTAGTGATTGATTGAACCTTAAGCGTTGACCACAAAGAATTTAAATTATGCCATATCACATTAAATGGTTGCTTCTAATCAAAATATCTAAAGCTAATTTCTTAAAATTCAAGCAAAGTGGATTTCTGTACTTAATGGTAGCAGTGGATTTGACTTCATTGTGCTTGAAAACAAATGGCTACATATGTTTCCTTTACAGGTAGCAAATCTTTTGGCTATTCCACATCTGGTCTTTCAAATTTCTTACTTATTTCCCCTGCTAAATTAAAGCTGTAATATTATTCTATTTTTTTTTCCAAGAAACATTTGGAAAAAAATAGCTCAATGTTAGATAAGGTTTATAATATGAAAATAGGGTAAGAAACTAGGTCAGTAACAAACAGATGTTACAGGAGCACTTTACCTTGCCTGAAGGCATCATTGTTACCATCTCTTTTTTTTTTTTTTCAGGAGTGTTTCATCCTCCATCACATTGTTGAAGGCTACATTCCACCAGTTTAAAATATATTATTTTGATGCATAACAACTAACACAAAAAATGCAATTTGTAAGTTAAAGACCACCAGAAATGTTGATAAATTCCAATCACAGCATGCTTTATTCTGCAAAGATTCCTATAAGCCTTGCAATCTTCACTGTGTTGCCTAGAGTAATGGAAATGCTAAGTCACAGCTTGAAACAGTGATTGAGCACCTGGTAGGATGGCAGGGCCAATCTAGGGGGGCTCAGGCACAAGCAATATGTGACTGGAAGGGGTGAAACAGGATCTATCAATTTCTAGACTTCATTTAAGGGATGGCTGTGGAGGTAAGGGTATGTGGAGATCTCTGTGTACCTAGGATTTTTTAATATTTTTTATTTTATTTTATTTTATTTATTTTATTTTTTCAGTGTCTTTCTCCTACTTTTTTTTATGCATGCTGCTGTTGTGTTTGACATGTCCTTACTTGCTGCATCCTATGATTTTGCTGCTTTGCTGTTGTTGTACTTTACTTTGTGTTACACTTAGCAAAGGTGACAAAGAAATTTTAAAGTGTGTGTGCATGTATTTGTCTGACTAAAATAAGGATATTGAATTGTGCAGTTCTAATAACCTTAACCCAGTTCTGGTATACTTCTTTCTAATTTCATTTTAATTTCTCTTATTTAGTATTCAGTTTTCTTGATAATAGCTGTCTCTTAACAGCTCAGCTGTCCACTGTTTCTGGGGGAAGAAAATGCACCTGTGAGTGCATTTGGATATTCTTAGTACTGTCTGTTATAGCAGTCTTCAGCAATTTTGGAACCATTTTCACCAAAGGTAAATAAACTCAAGAAGGACATTTGCTTCTTTACTATCTTGTTCTAATTCTTCTAGTAATGCTAAGCCTTCAAAGAAAAAAACAGGACAATGAACTTAACTTCATACACTGGCTCTCAAGAGGCCCATGCTAAAAGCAAAAGCTGAGAAAACAGTTGTTGGTCACTCTCGTATCATGCTGATATGGCAGTTCAATGCACCTTGTTCATACCTACTCTACCTATATTCACTCTCAAATAAGAATTTTTCACTCTCTTATCTATCGGATTATAGTGTGAGAACAGGACTGAGATCACATTCTTCAGATTGTTTCTTCTTGGCCCAGCAGGGGAGCAGGAGAAAAGAGGAATGAAGACTCCAGAGCAAAATCATCAGATTATCTTGCAGGAATATCTGAAAGGAGAAGAGTGAGAAGTTTCCTAGAAGGCAGTTTCGGGGTCCTGTATCCAATGTGATGTTAGCTTTAAGGTTTCCTTGACCTTGAAAAGGTCAATCTTTAGGCGGTTGAGCTGAAAGGCTGAAAGAAGTTGTGTTTTGCTATCGAGTTGCAGGACTAACTGTTAATCTTTTGCTTCTCCATAAATTAAAAAAAAAAAAAAAGAAAGAAAGAAAGAAAGAAAAAAAAAAGAGGGGATCCAAAACATTTCTTAGTAACTCTGAATAAACAATTTAAAATTGAACATGTGAGAAAGATTAAAAATAAATAATTGTATATTTATGAACTTATTCCTCAAGAAATCCTTTTCTGATACTGTCCTTCTCACAGATATTGGTGCCACAGATAAGGCCATGCCATTTGTATAATGAATCAAGCATGTATGGGGTACACATACACACCACTGCCTTCCTAATTGCCCACCAAGTGGGTGGCAAATGAACTCAATAGGGAAATGATCAGAAAGCAAGGCTGAGTAGTTTCCTCAAAGCATTTTGACACATTATCATTTCTTGACAGATTTCCTGGAATATCTCTGGTCTTCTCTGATCAGTTAATTAATTGTTCATTATCCACACTTCATATTTGACAGAAAACCTAAGCAAGTAAAAACAGGATCTGGAAAAATAAGACAAATCATACAGAGTTGGTGTGCCATTGTTTAAGAGCTTAGCACTATTAACTTCTGACACTACAAGAATCACAGAGAATTTGATTCAAAAATGAGCAACAGAATGCCATGAGCTAAGGACTTGTTTTACTAATGACAGTAGTGGATAATAAATTGAGAGACCTCAGCAAGAGAATATTGCCATACTGAAGATCACATTCCTAGGGGAGATTCATATGTCCTTCTCTAGATTTTGTATCCTGATATCCGCACTGTGGGTGAGGCCCATTGTTTACATTAAACTTTTTTACGTGTCGCTTGTTCAGGTTCCAGAGTAAATGTGGTCATTGTAAGTGATCACATCAGCCTTTAGCTGATACTTCAGTACCAGCTCATCAACAGCAAAGTCCTGTAACAAAAATAAACTCTACGAAGAAGGCTTAAGCACAGGTAAAGCAAGCATGACAGAGCACTTTAGTCAGACATTCTCATGTGATTATACTTCTGTTAGCCATTTTTTTCTCATAAAAGTCCAATTTTCAGAACAGCTTTTAGTGCACCTTTAACAGTCATGCACAAATTCACAGGAGATCTGTAAAATGCAGAGCAGGCATGAGGGCACTGGCAGTGAATTCACTGTAGTGAATTTTGTACTTCCCATTTCTTGCAGTCATTTCTGACTCAGTCCATGGACCTGCACAACAGTTTCAGTGGTCACTTGTGTCTGTTTCTGCTCCTTGATAGCTTTTTAAACTGAGTCAAGCAACACGAAGCGTGTTAAACCAAGAGCACCTCTGGGGCCAATGGGCTTTATTTACTCATTCTTAGGGAAACTAACTACCTAGCCCATATATCTTGCCAGAACTAAAACAGTTCTGGTCTTCTGAGATCTATAATACTCTCTGACATTTTATGACACTATAGTATTATTGGACTATGAAAGAAGAAATGATACTCTAATGGGTGCTTTTGTTTTGCCTAGTAAAAAAAAAAATCTTCAGTGTAAGGTATGTGCCATGAAGCCTGTAGCTAAAACAAGTTATCCAGGTTCTAGAAATCTGGGAGGTCTTGGAACACATTTTAAGGAATATTGCTATTCTCTATGTGAGCAGGAGCCAAGGAGAACTTGGTCTACATGTAAAAATCTGAAGGAAGAATCTGAGCATATGATGTTTATTAGATGTGATTGCAAACAGCAATTAGTTGTTGGAACCACCAGCTAAAATCAGGATATAAATATTGCATTTTCAGTACTTAAAGGAAGAGTCTGCAGTGGGAAATATGTTCTTGATGTTTTAATACTTCAGGTTTGATCTAAAAAGCCAAGAATGATAAAAATGCTTTTTTTTTTTTTTTTTTTTTTTTTTTTTTTTTTGTCAGGATCTTGTTTATCCCCGGAAAACAATGTTTAACTGAGCACAGTAACATCTGTCCAGACTGAGGAGTATTTTTTTAAGTTCCATGTGGGATACTGAAGTCTTGGCCTAGTTGGCCTCAAATCCCCAAGAAAGATGCATGTTCTATATACACACCTACTCAACCCACTCACTCTTTCAACCCCATTGCTGTAAGTACTGGTTTTTCTTGTTTCATTATGGTCTAATGCTAGTGTAGCAAGTTAGATTATAGCTCACTTTCTACAGTTTGGGGTGTATCAGGAAAGTAACTCACAGCCTCACTTGCCTACCTCTTTCTTCCAGTGAATGTTTATTTTTGTAAGTTTAGAAATCTGCACCCTGCTCAAAGCAATTTCATCTCTCATAAAATAAAACGTCCCTGTAACATGAAAAGTCCCCCATAACATAAAAACTCCGTGAAACTTAATGAAATGTCTTTTTATAAGCTTGGTATCATGCAGATCCTGGATGGTAATCCCTTTGCAATTCTGAAAATCACACTTGGTATACATTCTGTGAGTAGTTGGATACCCTGCTGTCTGCAGAGAATCAAACATCTGATATCTTCAGGACTTAACACAGAAGCACAAATCCCACTGATTCTTAAGTTATTTAGACCCTTTTGGGAAAAATAAAACCAAACCACCAACAATAAAATCAACAATGGACAGAAAACAAGAAAAAAAAAAACACTTTAAAAAAAAAAAAACAACATTCAAACTCCTGGTTTGGGAAGGGAATTGGGAATTGAGAATTCTATGTTGACATGGAGAGTCACTTTCATTGAAAAAAACACAAGGCTCTATTTCCACATGCATCATTAGCAAATTGCCCAATGAAATGAACACCTTTTCCAGTTCCTTTCAGTCTACATACAAGCCCTTAACAGTTCTCATCTGCACTTATTATTTACACTCTCTCATGACAGGCCCTTTTTCCTCTCCCCCTTCTCTTTTGTTCATTTTAATCTTCTTTAATGTACATTATAAATCACAAACCACTATATCTTCTGAAATCAATTTGTTAAGTGTGAAAATATTGGACAAAATCCAAATGATACGCAGAGTACTGGGGACACCTTGTGGTGAGTTATAATCAGACTTGTTTGAGGAACATTAATGTCCTCCATGTACAGATGTTTTCTGACTCATTTACTTTATAGTTTTAAACCTGACACTATTTCAGACTGGGACATACTTAAGCTCTCTAGGACAAAGTCTGGAAAGGACCTTAATCAGTAATGGAATATTTACTGAAATCCCTCTGCTTCAGGACTATGCCTGTTTAGGAGCTGGTCATACCTACTGAGACTGCATCAGGTAGTCTTAACCTGAAGCAACAAATATGTGCTGCAGGGACCAGCATTGAGCCTGGTTGTAGTGGATGGTCAGCCTGTGGTAAGGACAGCCTGTCAACTGCTACCCTACAGAATACTATAAATAACCAGGTGTTGGACTGGATCTCATTGGCTTCTCGCCTGTTTCATAATAACCACCCATGAGCGCTGAGGTGATTTTATTTCAGACTCCAATGTTCCTCTCTGACCTGAGAAACCCACTACTCCCTGCAAGAGGCAGGGATGCACCAGAGGCAGCAGGGTGACACTGCCCCAGTGGAGCCCTGAGCTCAGTGGCCTCTGCACACCTTTCAGTCTAATCTCAGTGAGTTTGGGTTGCTGTGGAGCTGCTGTTTCTGAATAAAACCAGCCATATTCATACATCCTGAGCCCTCCTACTGCCTAGTACACAGTTGCTCTCCACCCTCATCTCTTGCCCAGCCAGGGCTCTCTGTCCTTCTTTCCACTATGCCAGAACACTGGTAGTTCACATTCCTATCCATCCCGTGACTCTGGTCTGGTTCAGCCCAAGAGCATTTTGCTCTTGCAGAAGCTACCCTGGTGCTACGTGTAACAAAAACAGGAAGAAGTAAGCCAATATGGGAAGGCAGGGAGGATCATATCAGTTCATATACCAGGGCAGGATGATTGAGGCTTACCAGCTCTTTTGAACACAGCCTCAGTCAATCTTGGCTGTAGCAGCTCTGAGATGTGGAGGAACTCTGGCATGGCTCTGTGACTGAGGCCTGGGACCTGGCCACAAAGCCTTCACTGAAATCTGTGCCTTTCATTACTTGCTCTTCTACTTAAGCATGATGCAGAGATGCTAACCCTAAAACCATACTTTCATGTCAAAGGTGCAGAGGCAACACTTTGGCAGGGCCAGGGAAAAGTGACAGGCTGCTCAACAGCCAGGGGAAACAGGAGCTATACTACAGAGATGAGAGGCTGAGTGGCAGCACCTGCTGCATTTTGTGGTAGTTATCAGTGGTTATCAGTTACAGCTGGCAGGAGGCGAAATTCAGGACAGAAATGGTTCTCTCTTCTTTCTCCCCCAGCCAGCCATCATAAAGCCAACTGTCATTGAAATGTAGGTTCTGTGACACTGAAAGAAAGTCAATGCCCAGTATAAAAGGTAGTTTTATTGAAAAAGTATATATGGTTTATGGTATAGATCTAGAGAGATTTGCTATGAAAGGAAACAGAAAGTAAGATACTAGTACAAACAACATCACAGCATCCCACCGTGCTTAGAAAGGTGAAATAACCCTTCCTGGGACTTAATGACAGAAGAATATAGGGTGCTTGATCACTTGTTCAACTTTCTCCTACAGGGGAAAATTCAAAAGAAAATAAACACAATATGGAAGGAAAAAAAAAAAAAAAAAAAAAAAAAGGAAAAAAAAAAAGAAAAAGAAAAAAAAGCATGTATAGAATATAAAATATATAAAATATGCTTTCAGGATGCTGAATAGATAGCCCATTCCATGCAAAACACACAAAAAATGGATGAAGAACTATCAGCAAGCTGTGTCTACATACCCAGATAATTGCTCAACAGATAATGGCCAGCATAACTGCTGAACTGAGCAGCATGCAGGCCTGGAGCTCCCCCTACAGTGTGACAACATTGTACATCTGACTGGTCAACGCACACCTCTGAGATTCACGTCACATCAAACGTCCTCCTCAGAATACAATTTGACTGGCTAGGATTCCATTCCTTAAGTTCGTGTGAAATGTGCCCATTAAACACACAGGCTTTGAGAGATGCTGTAGGTAATGTTTAATAAGAGTTGATGTTTTTGAGGAATCTCTGCAGGA